CTTTTATCACCCGCATGTGCTCTAAGCCTAACCTTTTAATACCCGCATGTGCTCTAAGCCTAACCTTTTAATACCCGCATGTGCTCTAAGCCTAACCTTTTAATACCCGCATGTGCTCTAAGCCTACCCTTTCAATACCCGCATGTGCTCTAAGCCTAAACTTTTATCTGCTCATCCTGTCTGCATTGCTGCAGGCTCCCATCAAAGGCCGTGCTCAGCCCTATGACCCGAACTTCTATGATGAAACATACGACTATGGCGGCTTCACCATGTTCGAGGAGCGTGCTCGCAGACCCATGGGCTTCCCCATGCGTGGCCGTGGGGGGTTTGAGCGCATGCCCCCTCCTGGTCGTGGGGGTCGGCCCCTGCCTCCCTCACGGAGGGACTATGACGATATGAGCCCCCGCCGTGGGCCACCCCCGCCACTCGCAAGCAGAGGAGGTAGGGGGGGCAGTCGTGCTCGGAATCTGCCCCTGCCCCCCCCTCCGCCCCCCAGAGGAGGGTGAGTGTCGGTACAGACATCCTGAATGTTTCCCCGGGCCTATAGGAGCTCATACTGATTTTCTGTAATTCTGAAAGCAGCGACAGAAGAGCAAGACCCGTCGATCGTTATGAGAGCCTGGTGAGTAGTGGGTGGCGGGCTGGGTTGTGTGGACAGTAATTGGGGGGGTGGCTGTGAACCTGTGGTGATTGACGGGGGGGTACTGTTAGCATGCTGTCAGCAGTATTGTGGGCGGGGTTACAGGCGTGTTACACGGTTGTGATTTATAGCATGTTTCTGTAGCTTGCCAGTAGCATCATTGTCACTAACTCTAACATCACGCTTTTTTCTTCCCAGAGTGGTGGTGGATATGGTGAGTCTGATCTACTTCCTTTTCAGATATGCTGTCCCTGGATTGGCTGCTTTGCTGTTAAGCTCCAAGCATGCAGCTAGAAGAGGGGTTATTGTTTTTGTTGTGCTGATTTCAGTCTTACTGGGCCTGTTTAAGATGGATAGTATTGGTTCTGTTTAATTTGAAAGCGTGTCATAAATCTGATTTGTTACCAAAGGACCTCTTAAGTTGTACAAAATTTGCTGAGATACATTAGTACCAGAAAATGTTTTAATTTTTCTGCTTTATTTCCACCCTGTTTCCATGGAGACAATTCCTCCTCCTGGGAGCCCTTTCAGTCAGGTGAGTGTGTTGCATGGCGCCCCCAGGATGCTGTGCTTCTCCCAGCCATTTCATTTGGGGTTCTGTGCCCAGTAGGTGGCCGCGGCTCTTATGGGGACATTGGCGGTCCAGTGATCACAACCCAAGTGACAATTCCCAAAGATGTGAGTTGGCTGGCTGATTCTGCAGAATGTGTTTCGGTCATCGATTGAGAGAGAGGGTAAATTTGAATGTATGAATGTGTTCTCTTGCAGCTGGCGGGATCGATAATAGGAAAGGGTGGCCAGCGGATCAAGCAGATACGGCATGAATCGGGGGCCTCGATTAAAATCGACGAGCCCTTGGAAGGCTCAGAGGATCGGATAATCACCATCACTGGCACCCAGGACCAGATCCAGAATGCCCAGTACCTGTTACAGAATAGGCAAGTGATAGATGCTGTGTATGTGCGAGTGTCTGTCTGAACACCATCCGCTTTGCTGCACCGCCTCTTAAAGCTGCTTGCAGGATCACATTTGTACCTCTGCTGATTTGTATAAGTTTAAGTTTTAGTTTGGCTTTCAAGAGAAATGTATGAAGTCCAATTCAAAGATGTAATGAAGTGTTTGCCTCAGGAAAGCAGAGACATTAGACTGCACAGTGTCGAAGTCATGTTGCATCCTGCTGTCGGGGGCATCCCAGCATGCACTGCTGGTTGGCTTTTTGCCTCTGGTCCCCTGCCTGCCCACAGACCCCTACAAACCGGCCTGCTTTAGGTAGCTTCCCTGTGCTGATTGTTGATTTTTCTTTTTTTTTTTAATCATGCTTTTTTGTTTTATTACAGTGTGAAGCAGTACTCTGGGCGCTTCTTCTGAAGGGGGACGTTGTGGAGGAGACAGCCTAAGTGTTACTGTTGCCGAGTCTGTTAATAAGCCACATTCCTCTACCTTAGGTAGATGGCCCAATGCCTGAGCAGACCTGCCCTTTGTCTAACCCTCTGTGTAGCTCTCTGGTGTGATTGGAGCCTCCGTCCTCGTGCTTGTTCTCGTGTTACGGCACCCTGTGAGGAGGCAGGAAGTGATGTGGCTCTCAGTCCTCATGCCTTCTGCAGTACACAGTCATCCTGTTTTGTAAGGAAACTTTTATGATTTTTAAAATAAACTTAGTCAATTGTTCCCTCCTGGTATGTTTTAGTTAAAAGAATGGAAGTCTATGTAAATAATTTTCTATGAATTTGTGTTTTAATGCTTATAATGCATTTTGTTATGTCTACATGAATAAACAGGGATAAGATTTTCCTCACATGACAAGCATCCGCTCAAAAAATGGCCACATCTGATGCATCTTGTGGCTGTTTCCTCATGCCCATAGGTCACATTTTCAGAAAAATGCATAAGTGTCACGTTCCTCACCCGTTAATCATGTTCACTGATCAGTTTGATCATTCAGAATGTGAACGTTATGCTATAAGTTATAGGTGTTGAAGAGGGGTGCAGATCAGGCCCCCTGCTTCCACGGTATCCTCAGCTCAGGCTGGACAAGCTAAGTTATAGGTGTTGAAGAGGGGTGCAGATCAGGCCCCCTGCTTCCACAGTATCCTCAGCTCAGACTGGACAAGCTAAGTTATAGGTGTTGAAGAGGGGTGCAGATCAGGCCCTCTGCTTCCACGGTATCCTCAGCTCAGGCTGGACCTTCTTGAGGGAGCATCAGCGGCCGCTCATACCAGTGAAGCCCTGACGCTTCCAAAGCTTTTCTGTACACGTTTAACGAAAATACTGTGGTACCATTTTGTACCACCTTTAGAATTTTTAACCTTTCAAGATTTTGTCAATATATCCTTTGTTTTAGCCCCTCCTGTTAACGCTCTGCTCAGCTGCCTGGGTTTGGCTTTTTATGTATTACATGCTCCTTATATCAAAGCTAATTAACACATGACATTGCAGTGGTTTGTGCAATATATGGCTTTATGGATGCTCATGGTTCTAAAAGAGAATCGCTTTTCACAGCAAACGGGACTAATGATAGTTTTACATACTGCTAACACTGCTTTTGTTCAAGTTAATTTTTGTTCTTTTATATGATTTAAATGCTAATCCAACTTTGTGTGGTGAGAAGGTTTAATGTGGGTATAAAAGTGACTGAAAAATGCAGTTTTTATCGCTCTTCCAAAATGAGCACAGTTGCATGCAGAGGCAAGAATTGTGAGCAAAAACATTTTTTTTCAGAGGGACAAAAACGAAATTGACAGAATATGGTCGAACATCCTAAAATAAACCGAGAAATAAGGCTTTTGGAGCGTGACAAGGCAGGCTGAACTAGTAAAATGTATAACCACGCGGAGTAATGTGAGTGCATAAAGGCTGCTTCCAAGATGCATGGGTGACTTTTCATTCGTCAGAATAATCGCATCACTTCCTGGGATTCCGGGGGGATTCCCCAGGCCTTTGCGCTTGCTAGTGCCACCTGCTACATGTATGTTCCACTTTTAAAGAAGTTTATTTCACATGCTCTCAGACCGCAGCCTTGCCTTGAGTCACACTTGATCCAGACAGAGCAGCGAGAAATGTATGTACTCAACAATCACAAATGGACGTGTTTGAAAAGTAGGTATTTTTTTCCTCTGTTGAATATGGATGTTCATGCGGAGTATTAACGGCAATAGCCTGCCAAGAGCTGTACAGGACACTGCAGGTGACGTTCTGGATGGAGTGCAAGGCAGTGCCTACGGTCTCAGTCCAGGCTGCAGGCTGAACATCACTGACTGTCCTTAAGATCAAGGATTTTTGTATGTCATTGTGCAAATGGTTCATGTAAGTCCAAACTAAATTTACTAGCAACCTCAGTAATAACATGCACACAACATTGTATAAAGAATCATAATCTTTTGACTCGTGATGTTAAAGGAATTTGTTGGTTGTGGCACAAGTGTGCAGATTGTGTGTGTGTGTATGCGTGTGTGTGTGTGTGTGTGTGTGTGTGTGTGTGTGTGTGTATGCGTGAACACACTCAGGAAAAAATACACAAAACAGTAAATAGAATAAAGATGAAAATAGCTACATTAAAAAATGGTTTATTAGATAGATAGATACATACACATAGGCACACAGACCTATGACATTCACGCACACATACATACTGCAACAGTACAAAAGAAAGTAACAGGAGGGCAGTGTGCTATACAGGCCTAAACACTTAAGTCCATCACACTCCTCCCCTTCCATGTGACGTTGAAGAGCTGTATGGCCATAGGGACAAAGGACCTTCTGAGTCTGTCTGTTCTGCATGACAGAGACAGGAGCCTATCACTGAACATGGTCTTCTGGAGGAAGTGGTGAGCAGAGGGTGACGGTCATTGTCCGATACTGAGATATTAATAAACAAATTAACATGGAGCCGTGTTTCCCAACCCAATCCTGATGATCAGCACATCCCACAATTTGCTGTAGTCCCTGCTTAGGATGCAGATGGTGCAGAGCCAAACCAGACAGAAATGGAGGGTGGAACAATGGGTTCTATTGCACCCATGTAAAACTGAGCAGTCAATGTTTGTGACAGCTTGCGTTTCTTCAGCTATTGCAAGAAGAACAGACACTGTTGGGCAGGTGATTCTTGTCTCTCATTTGAGGTGCTGTTGAATGATTTGAAGGATTCAGTCCTGCTGAGTGTAGTGTCCTGTATGACCAATGGTGATGGGGGCATTTTCTGGGGGCGTTTGCTGTGTGTTCAGCTCCAAGTTGCTACCCCCACACCAAGACAGCAGTCGGCTTACTTCCTCACAGCAGCTGGTCTGCTCAACATTCCGGATACATACATTGTATATATATGTATAACTGAGGTTGATGTGATACTAAGCCTAGCTAAAATAAATAAATCGCAGGGGCCTGATGGCATCTTACCTATAGTCTTAAAAGAGATGAGGGATATTATTAGCCAACCTTTAACTTTAATATTCCAGAAATCGTTATCTGCGGGTGTGGTACCTTCAGATTGGAAGCATGCTAATATAACACCCATATTCAAAAAAGGGGATAGAAGTAATCCAGCAAACTATAGGCCAATCAGTTTAACTAGCATTACTGGAAAAATAATGGAAGCTATAATTCAAGTGAAAATGGTAGATTACCTAGATGCAAATAACATCATAAAGGATAGCCAACATGGATTTAGGAGAGGTAGATCCTGCTTAACGAATCTACTTGAGTTCTTTGAGGAAGCTACAAGTGAAATTGATCACAAAAAGGCCTATGATGTGATTTACTTAGATTTCCAGAAGGCCTTTGATGTTGTCCCCCACAAACGTCTCTTGCTAAAGCTTAAAGCTGCAGGGATTTTAGGAACTGTGGCAACTTGGATCAAAAACTGGCTAACTGACAGGAAGCAGCGAGTAGTTATTAGAGGCACAATGTCACAGTGGGCCTCCGTTCATAGTGGGGTACCGCAGGGTTCAATTTTAGGACCTCTATTGTTCCTAATTTACATTAATGATATTGACAACTCTGAGCTATTTTAACAACTCTGAGCTATTAGTTATGTTCTCCCCAAACGAGCTTAATGGGCCGAATGGCCTCCTCTCGTTTGTAAATTTCTTATGTTCTTATGTTCTTATGGACAAAAGCATTGGGACACACCTCTTAATAAAATTCAGGTGTCTCATTCAGGCTGATTGCCACAGGCAATCAAGCACCCAAACATACAGTGAGGTTCACAAACAGTGAAAGAACGGGTCATTCTGAAGAGCTCAGAGAATTCAAGGATACCACCTTTGCATTAAGTCGGTTCATTAATTTTTTTTCCCAGATAGATATTTCACAGTCTGTGGCCCCGGGAACTTCATGGGATGGGCTTCTATGACCGAGTAGCTGCATGCAAGCCTCACATCTCCAAGCGTAAGGATGGATGGAGTGTCGATGGATTTAGAATGGGATGTCTAACACAACAATGTATAACACAACAATGAGCACTGGATGGCATTGTCCCTGTAAAACCTTTAAATTCATATTTTGAGACCTCAGTACTGGAAATAGTATCATATAAATAATAGTATAAATTTACCTTGGTGTACAAAACTCTACACATGTAGGTAATGTAAAGTTACTGGTGTAAAATGTAAGTATTTTGAAGCAGGAACAAGGCAGTAAAAAAAAAGGGTATAGTGAAAGACCGAATTCACGATAAAGTTATTCCCAGACTTCTACTCAATTCATTTAACTGGGGAGTTTCCGGCTGCTTTGTATCAGGAAGAACGGACTCCGCATACACGTGCTGGGTCAGGCTTGCATATCCAGTTTTAGATATGAAAACACCTTTTACCTGAATGACTGCATTTCACTCACCTGAGGACTGAGCAGCAGTACCTATAGTGAAAGAAACTGGTTTCGGGAGCCTCCTGTAAGGAATAACTTGTTTAAACATATGTAGTCCTTGTATAAGTAGTTTAAAAAGATCAAAAAGGGTCACAGCAGTACTTGGAACAATGGCTGAATGCTGCCTGTCAGCGGAAGACAGGGAATGTGAACGCATTAGTAGAGAGATTGAGAGACAGCTCCGGCGTGACAAGCAAAACTCCAGACGAGAAATTAAACTACTGTTATTGGGTAAGTCCACTGTCAAAAAAGAGAATTTGATGCATTAAAGAAATATGTAAATACAAACAACAATGTGTCAGTAATTAAAATGTATGTCTTTTGACATTGCTGTTTGTAGGTATATAACTATAGTTCACAAATAACTGTATGACTAACTGCGATATTTAAAAATTTTATTACATTGAATTACATTTCATATCATATACTTTTATTTATGCTTGTGCTTATGTATATTCACGCAGACACATGTTACATTAGTGGACAAACTTGCTATTTTAAGAACATAAGAACATAAGAATTTTGGATAAGAATGTTACTTCATTTCCTCATTTTGGCAAAGCTTCGTTCTTGATTGTTTGGTGTTACGTGAGTCAAGCAAATTAATGCAAATAAGTAAACAGTGAGGCAAAATTTTGCATTTTAAGCAGGTACAAAAGATGTCTTTACCTATGTTTGGTCAGGGACTGGAGAGAGTGGAAAGAGCACATTTATTAAGCAGATGAGGATCATTCATGGTGCGGGATATTCAGAGGATGACCGGAGAGACTTCACCAAGCTCGTCTATCAGAACATCTTCACGGCTATACAGGCCATGATCCAGGCCATGAAGACACTGGGCATCTCCTTCGTGGACCATCAGAACATTGTAATCTTTCCATCACCCATGCGAGTGTTTCGTTCATATAGCTCATACACATAGTCATGAGAAACTCAAAACATCAGATGAAGGTTCCCTGATTAATCTCCAAGTTAGGAGTGGTGTAACTTGCTAGGCAGGTTTCAGAGTGCATGTGCAAGATGACAATGTCACGTGGTAGAGAGGGTTTTGGGAGAAAGGCACACGCAAGCATAGCTGATGAGTATTAGTCAGCATTTACAAGATTTGTAAAAGTTATGGTTTGGTCATTAATGTCTGGGGTTCTAATTATTTAATGGTAAAGGTAAGGTAAATAAACACAGAATTTAAATATATAGTGAAAAAAATACAGGTAGCTCTCGAATTAAACCAAAATGATTTAAGTGAATCTGGGCAAAAAAAATATCTGAGATGCAGAGTTTACGGAAGCGCTAATACAAAAAGGCGACGTACTCCTGTAAGTAAATTTACACTTTATTTTTTCATTTAATTTTTGTTCTTTAGTATGTATTACTACGTTGGTCCTTGCATATGTGTTTTTTGCTAGAAGGTGTCTTGAATGGTAAATAGACAAAATTTGACTTGCATATAAGTTTGTGGAACGGATTGCTTACATCAGCAGAGAACTGCTTGTCCTGTAATTATACATCAGTTGTGGCACTTAATTGTGCTGTGGCTGTAGACTTATTGGGCTTCTGGCTTGGCTTCTCCTTGCCATGGTAACCTTTCTGTTGTCATACATGGCTGATAAAGCAGTGCTGCATGACACAGGTAGCACAGGTGTGCCGATGCTGCGTGACACAGGTAGCACAGGTGTGCCGATGCTGCGTGACACAGGTAGCACAGGTGTGCNTGACACAGGTAGCACAGGTGTGCCGATGCTGCGTGACACAGGTAGCACAGGTGTGCCGATGCTGCGTGACACAGGTAGCACAGGTGTGCTGGGCTGGTAAAATGTTCAGCTTTAGCAGGGAGACTTTTCTGATTTTAGAAAAATGCAGACATCGTGGAGCAGGTGGACGTGGACCTGGTGACCACCTTAGTCCAGAGACACGCCAAAGCCATCAGCCAACTGTGGAGTGACAAAGGCATTCAGGAATGTTATAAGCGCAGACGTGAATACCAGCTGTCTGATTCTGCAAAATAGTAAGTTGTTCTGTATGCTGTGTCTCTATGTATAAATAAGTAGAACTATTTTAAGCACATTGGAACTATTGAAACACCAGTGGACTTGTTCTGACTGCGCTACCTTCAGGCTTACCAGCCGTGACAATGTTTATGTTTCATCATTTACTTTCAGCTACCTGGACTCCATGGGTCGGATCTCCGCACCTGCATATGTGCCAACTGAACAAGATGTCTTACGAGTTAGGGCACCCACGACAGGAATTATAGAGTACCCCTTCCTCCTAGAAAATATGATCTTCAGGTGCGTCTCTGGCAAGGAATGGAATCAGATCCATGGTGATATTGGTTTTAGGAGTTAGAGGTGATTCATGGTAAACGTTAAGGGTTATGGAGAGTCACGTGATTCATGGTAAACGTTAAGGGTTATGGAGAGTCACGGAAGTAGAGATGCCAATGTACAGACTGCTATAGGAGTTATGGGGTTTTTGGTGTGATATGATTCTTTCAGGATGGTCGATGTAGGAGGTCAGAGATCGGAAAGGAGGAAATGGATTCACTGCTTTGAGAAGGTCACATCCATCATCTTTCTTGCCGCACTTAATGAATATGACCAAGTCTTATATGAATCTCGCAATGAGGTAAGTATATTCAAGCAGATCTTTAAAAGTAAAACTGATATGGAATATGTGTAAATAAACACATCAATATAACCCAGAAACATGATAATAATGTTTAACCCAAAGTTTGCTTTTCCCATTTGAGAAATAAAGAAATTTATTTTTCACTGATTTATAGACATATTATTTATTACTGATTGGTGTCAAAAGTTTGATCATGGTCTCCTGTGAAATCTGATATCTGTCTGTTAATGATGCAATTGACTGTGGTTGTATCTTGGGGTTTACATGGTTGGTGATGGTCTTTTTTCCAGAACCGCATGGAGGAAAGCAAGGCTTTGTTCAAGACCATCATTAGCAATGCCTGGTTTGAGGAGTCCTCTGTTATTCTCTTCCTTAATAAAAAAGACATTTTAGAGGAGAAGATTGCATATTCCCACTTAGGTGACTATTTCCCTGACTTCAAGGGTAAGTTCCTATACTCCCTTGTTTCTGTTTGTGTGCATTGGCTGCGTTGGACTTTTCCAGTGTTTCGTTTCCAAACTGACAGCAAAATATTATGGCTCTGTAATGTGAAGCACACTTACTATAAACGTAGAATAAAATATTTTACAAGGAAATGCAAAAACGGTTATGCTGATAGTTTTTTTCTAATGTATCACCTGGTTTCATTGTTGTTCTGATGTTCATCTCACATCATTATTTACAGAAATTTGAATTATTTACACTTTTAAATACTTCATACGTTTAAATAATTTGTGGATAATTCTCCTGGCTGTCAGGAGTGTGCACAGCCACACCGCGCCCATAGCTGCTGGTTCAGTTGTGATCATGGTGTTGTGATCAGTTGTGATCATCAGTGGGATGATTATTTTACCATACATAGTGGATAATAATGGATTTTCTAAGTAGTACTTCCTGGTGGATAATGATGACTGTAGGGTTTAGTGGCCCAGAGCGGTAATGGTTTGTGGTGTTTTCAGGCCCAAATGATGCAGAATCAGCCAAACAATTCATTCTGAAAATGTTTGTGGAGCAAAATCCAGACAAGAAGAAAACCATCTACGCCCACTTCACTTGTGCCACAGACACACAGAACATCCGCTTTGTTTTTGATGCTGTCAAGGACACTGTCCTCAAACATAACCTTACGATATTCAACATAGTGTAAGCCTCCATTGTGCTGGACAGACACCAGCCGTGATAAATGAAGGTAACGTGAATGACAAACATTAACACCTAATGATCCTGTTTTCCTGTTTGTTGATGAAATGTGATGTTTTAACAATTATTTTAAATGATCCATGTTTTATACTGTATATGTTTTATTTTAGAAACAAATCTGAGGACTTGTTTTTAACATGAAGTGAATGATTATGAAAATCAGATGCCATATAACTCACTCTTACTTTTTTATATTAATGTTAATTTAAACATGTTTAAGGTTCTTTGCAGATCTATTGAAACATTAAGTTGAAAGGTGTTTAAATGGATGTAACATATATACAGTGGCAGATTAACAAGTTCACGGGCCCTAGGCTGCACTTATCGTAGGCCCCTCTTCTGCCCCCACGCTCCAAAACGATACAACAATTAACTATAAAACAATTAAATATTAGTAACTATAAAATAATCTCTACAATCAAAGAGAATGTGAAAGAGCGCAGCAGAGACCCCATTGAATAGACCCATATCAACAGTGAAACCATAAAACATTAATTACACTCTGATCTAGTGCGTGTCAACTGCATCCACCAGGCGCTCTCAAGACACATTTACCATAGATAGCATAGACCACAGATAACTTTACAAAGAGGGATGTGTAGCTCAGTGGGTCTGGCTTCTGCGGCCATGATTGAAAGGTTGCCAATTTGATTCCTGCCCTTGGCAGAATAGTCATATATGTCATCTTCTATGTGTGTGTCTTAAAGGAGAGCAAGATGGAATATGCTTAAAATAAAACATTCAAGTGTATCTGTATAAATGGTCCATAAACCTGTGTTATTCAAATGCATGCTGGAAAAAAATATCACCACTCACTTATTAGAAAAGGCCCAGACCTCCCCATCACTTAAAGCAGTTTCCCAGTCCGGTCTTTGGGGTCCCTACAGTCTGCCCATGTTTTTGCTCCCTTTGTGTTCCCTACAGTCTGCCCATGTTTTTGCTCCCTCTGTGTTCCCTATCAGACAGTCCATGTTTTTGCTCCCTCTGTGTTCCCTATCAGACAGTCCATGTTTTTGCTCCCTCTGTGTTCCCTATCAGACAGTCCATGTTTTTGCTAGGGGCTTGGAGGGAGCAAAAACATGGACTCTCTATGGATCCCTGAGAACCGGACTGGGAAACATTGACTTAAACACTGTTATTGTTGAACTGGAGTAGATTTTAGTTACATGTTATGTGTCCAATAGCAAATGGATTAAGAACTGGACTGCCTGTTCAGATTATGTAGTTACTGACTGAGCTATAATCCCTTAAATTTGATTGTCTGTATGTTTGGTTCACATAGATTGTATCCTGCTGTTTATTAAAATGTTTTTCATAACTTCGGTCAGTTAGCTGCTTTGACTCTTCAAATGAAACCAGATTTTCATGAAACACATTGATTCCTTTGGTCTCATTTTCACACCTCATAAAACAGTCTTTGTTCAGATACCTGGTTTTACATAAAAACAGCGAGACGACAGCAGCTCCCTGTGCATTTGCATGTCATGGTGGTCAGAGGCAGCATTACAGACTGTCAGGGCAGGTAACACGATGCTTGGTGGAGCTCAGACAGGGCTTCTCCTGCTCAATGTCCTCTGCCTTTCCAAACCTGCTGTCCAGCGCTGAGCCAAACTCCAGCATGCTAACCCCACATGCTCGCCTACCAGTGCTTGGAGCCGAAATGACAGAACAAGGAAACCACAAACTTATGTTATTGCACTGCTGTTGGACAGCTAAGCAAATTCAGCTTTTATTTTTGTTAGTGTGTTTTGCATGTTTTCGGCTTGATTCAGTTGATCGTTACACCCCTGGTCTGGGTCAGATGGCCATAACAGGTCTGCAGGGGACTGCAGTGGTCTACAAGCAGGATAATGAGTAATGTAGTCATGTACTTCACATGGTTATGAGAAGATTCAAAACGTAGCCCTTTTATTCAGGCCCTTTGATTTACGCGCATAGTCATGTCACTGAAGGGAATAAGGGACAAGGGTGGAGCCAAAGAAAGAAAAGAAACTAACAAAACAAATCTCATGAGAGTGGAGGAGAGACAGGAGAGGGGAGGAGAAGAGAGCAGGACACTATTAACTTTAGTCAAAGGATCTCAGCCCCCCCCCACCCCACACACACACAGACATTTCACAACATCCAAGCAACATTCCTTTGAATTGTGACGGGCCCTGCAGAAACACATAAGGTCACAGGCGATCATGAAGACACACAGAGTTCCACACATATGCAGCCCAAAGAAGACAAAGAAAAGAGAAGGACTGATTAAGAAAGCATGAGCCTGTCTGGGTGAGGGTTAGGGTCAGTGTAACCCTAAGAAAACAGCACTAAACAGCTCCACTATCACTGCAAGGTGTGCTGTGACTCATTAACTATAAAGGTGGGTGATCTGGTTACCTTTGCCTCTGCAGGGATGCTGCTGTACCAGCCTCTGCTCAAGACTGTACATACTTTCATGACTTACTATAGTAGCACTTCAGATGTGAAAACAAGAGAATGGTCAGTAAAAGCTGAAAGTTTCCTCGGGATGTGAGTTACTATGCACTAGTGTTTGAATTTTGAATATGCAATTAAAGAAGCTGCTGAAAATTGTAACTTTAGAAACGAAATCAATTTTTTAAGCCGGTGAAACCTGAGAAAAACCTGATGACTGATAAGCAAATTTTTTTTGGTTGAAGTACCGTGTTTGTCAGCCACAGGTTTGTCGTGTCAGATGGGTAACACCCAAATGCACAGACGCATGTTGTCTGTCGGTCTATTTGTCTTTCTGTCTTTCTGTCTGTCCTTCTGTCTGTCTTTCATCCATGCCAACTTCTTACAATATTTCACAGTTATCTTCCAATTCATCCCCTAAATATCCAATAGTGCAATTACAAAATAAAAACAGTAGATGGCAGCAGGCAGAAAAATAAATATATCAGAAAAAGTTTGAATACTATTGCTGTAATCTCATTGAGGCTTTCAGCATCCATACTATAAGGCAGTGGCACTGAAAGCCCCCACTGGTACAGGCACTGGAGCTGGCCATACTGGCGGAGTGGGTGCCAGTGACTGGAAGTCAAATCTGCTGAGAAGCAGATTCAGTCCATTATGCCTGTACCCAATCCAGTGCCAGTGTACAAATAAACAGAGAATAAACAGACAAGCAGATGTGCAATAGTGCAGTGAAGATGAGACGTTTCTCTTCAGATAAATTGTAGTAATATTGCTTAATACACTATATACCTTCATAATGCAGTGCAAAGCATCTTTAATTCTTATACTGACATTATAATGCATTATGAAGGTACGTATAGTGCATTGTAGATGAGAGTTTCATAGAGCATTGATAACGCATAATAAACATAGCTATAATGTGGCTTTTTATAAATACAGACGCTCCTCTACTTACGAACGAGATACAGGACAGGAAACGGGAGCCCAATGAACACAATTTGGACTATATAGTTCTCTTCATTCGTTTGTCTCAAAGTTAGTAAGTTGAAAGTTCATAAGCAGATGAGCGTCTGTATAGTCGTGTTAATAATACTTTATGAATGCATTATAATGAATTATGACAGTATCTATAATGCATCATGATGACTGCTTTTAAGTTAAGTATTATAATTTTTTATTAAAATGTTTATTTTTAGCTTAAACATTGTTTCAGGCAGACAATACAGTAAAGACATAGATAATTTTATAATGAACAATTTATTTGTTTAAAAACTAAATTAAGAGTATAGTTTAATCGTTTCAATTCAGTTTAGTATACCTAAACCACTTAACAATAGTGTGTGGCACTACATTATTAGTTCTTGGATACTAAACTAAAGTTCAATCATAATTTCAAAGACACATCCTCTTGGAATTTGAGAACACAGTCATGCGTCGCATAACGACAGGGAAACATTCTGAGAAATACATTGTTTGACAATGTTGTCGTTGTGCAAACATCATACAGTGCACTTACACAAACCTAGATGGTATAGCCTACTGTACACCTAGACTAAAGCAAACTTTATGAATAGAAGGAGTACACTCTAAAATTATGATTAAAAGTACAATATAACAAATACATACACCAGCAACATGTTTATTATCATTTTCAAGTATCATGTACTGTACATAATTGTATGAACAATACTTTTACACGACTGGCAGTGCAGTAGGTTTGTTTGCACCAGCATCACCAGAAACTAGTGAGCAATGCATTGCACTATGACATCACTGGGAGATATGAATTTTTCAGCTCCATTCATCATATGGGACAACCGTTGTATTTGCGGTCCATCTTTGACCGCATGATTGTATTATATGCACCTTTCTGGTAAAATAAATAAATTCATCAAACTCTGCTGCATTCCCATTACCCTGCCCTAGATAAATGATTAGACGATGGATGGATGTATGGATGGATGGGCGGATAAATTCTTGCAAAGTCTTGAACAAAAATCTAAATTGGAGAAAAATCCCAGACATTTGTAAAGTGTCACTCTGAGTTGAGTAAATGGCAGCTCAGTAAATATTCTGGGCCATACCGTGAGAGAAAAGCGACGTCAGATTTAGGGACAAAGCTGCAGCCTTCTAGCTGGACACTGCTGGCTGAGAAGATGCTCCAGCGGTCCAGGCTTGGTTTAGATTGAGGTGCAGCATCCATCACATCCCAGTTCTGCACTTACAGCCCAGGGGGCAGTGGAATCATGGAAGCCCTTAGAGGAGGCCACAGATGTGGTCACTGTGCACTTAGTTCCTGGAGGGCTGTGTCCGCCCACGGCTCCGGCTAGTTTCTGCCCCAGGTAGGGGCCCTGGTCCCCGGGGTCCTGGGGGGTGTGTAACTGCAATGCGGGGGTTGGGGCTCGCCAGGGACACATCCTTCTGAAGGTTGACACCAGTGGCTGCCGTCCCAGGCTTTCCTGTAACCTTGGCAGGTTTACCACCCTGATCGTTGTCTAGAATATCAAAGGAAGGAAGAGGTCACTACAGCTTCAGTTGTGATCAATCTGCTATAGTACCAAGCCACCATTAGCTGAAAGTAGTGTGTGATAACGACACCAAACACAGGGGCTGGTGGCATCACAGCCTAGCTCTAACCCTAACCCTACACAGCAACAATGGTCAACTAACCCTACACAGCAACAATGGTCAACTAACCCTACACAGCAACAATGGTCAACTAACCCTACATGCTCTACAACAATGGTCAAATCATTGCTTTCACTCAAAAAGCTCATGTCTGGTTCATAAATGTCCGTATTATATAGTTTTTCCTCTAACTGCAGCTTACCTGCACTGCTCTCTGCAGGTGCTTTGGGTGCTAGAGAGCGGTTGGGAAGCAGGTCTTCTAGATCTTTCATCACTTGATTAGTGCTATTTGTGTTATTTCTGCGATTTTTCTCCTCATCTCTTTGCTAGTGTGAAGAATTGAAATAAATGAAAAACAGCACATTTACTCGAACACAGATTGTATATACAGAAGCTCCTCTACTTACGAACGTTCAACTTACGAACTTTCAGACATACGAACGAAGAGGACTGTAAGTCCAAATTGTGTTCACTGGGCTCCCGTTTCCTGTCCACAACATCAATTTTTTTTTCTGCACAACAATTCCGCCTAGTACGCCTTCTGGCCGCTACTCCCGCCGCGCAGCAGCGTAGCGTACGTACTCCCAGCATCCTAGTTCTTTGTACTTGCATATAACCTTAAGATGATGTTGAATAACGACTTACGAACATTTCAAGTTACGAATGGCCGTTCGGAACATATCTCATTCGTAAGTAGAGGAGCGTCTGTACACTTATAGTGGGAGTAAAAATAGTGTGGTAATATATTAAGGCATGCAATAAACATAAACTATAGTCAGCCCTCCATATCCATGGGATCCTATTCCGTGGATTTAACTAACTGCAAATCGATAATATTAAAAAAAAAATCCAAAAGGTTCCAAAAATCAAAACTTAAACTTGCCTGGCCAGAGTACGTCATACCATGCCCAGGTCTGGTTCAAGAGGTAGACTTGGACACGATACACATCCAGTGTGATCACTAACTTTGCCTGAGCACGGAACACAGGCATGACATCATGGTGCGACTGGCACACGCATGTGCACAAGCACATTATACATGAATTGCACTCAGTAGGAACAGATTGGGTGGGCTGTACAGATTGGGTGGGCTGTACAGATTGGGTGGGCTGTACAGATTGGGTTGCGACAAACATTTAACTGATATCACTTTGGTATGGAAGCCCGTTTTCACCATCTGGAGTAGAAAGAAAACACATTAATCTCAGAATTTTTACTTATTAAGTCAGAATTCTGACTTTAACCTGGTTTGAAAAGAAAAGGGGCAATAGAACTTATCTCTTGCCTCATAATGTGTGATACTGGCACATCTAACGTTAATGCTTCGTGCATAAGACCTACAAGACCCTATAGCAACCAATGAAGTATTACCAAGCGTTATTGTAATAATTGCCAATAACATAATTATTCCGGTTCTTATTGTAATAAAAGGTAATAAAGTAATAACAGTGTACTAACATTTTTGAATAAAAAACATCACATTATTACATTATAGACACAAAACGGGAAAATGATTACGTTATTGACAATTATATTAATGGTAGTTATTATATTATTAACTGCCACAGACCCTAACAATCGTGACATTGCACAAAATATATGTTCTAATTACAGTTGGGTTAATATCAAACGTGTCTTTCAGTTAATTCCCAGATAGCACACATATGTTGAAATTACATTGATTCCATATCAGACAAAAAGGTTGAAACAGCGTTGATCTTCAATGTTTCACTTTATATCAACATTGAATCAAAGTTTTGCCACTATCAATTTTTCAATATTAACCAGAAATCAATTCAGCTTCAACACTGATAATTTAATACTGGCCATAATTCAAGGCATTTAACTATAATCAGCGTTGAGACAATAACATGGTGCTGTCTAGGTTGGGTATTGGAAGCTACTAGAAGTCCCAGGCAAACACTGGCATGACAAGAATAACTGAATAACTCAAACCAAGGCGATGATCCCAGGGCTGGTGCCACCCTGTCTTACTGTTTTCAAAATGAAGCGAGCGAACATGGAATCCAGACTGCTAGAAGATTACATTATGTGAATAATACGTGTTTGGGATAAGTAGCATCCTGCTGAGGAGGTGATGCTGCCTGATTGGCTAAGAAAAGTCTGAATTTCGACCTAAGTCAGAATTCTGGGATAAAAAATCAGAATTATGGCTTAATAAGTCGGAATTCTGAGATAAATGAGTGCTTTTCCCTACTCCAGATGGCAGAAATGGGCTTCCATACTTTGGTCTGTGACAGAGGTGCAGTGTTTGCTGGAAATTTAGGCTGATGAGAGGATCCAGGAACAACTGGATGCAATACACCAAAATTCAGTGATATTTGGTAAAATATCTTATACGCACAGCACAATTAAATGAAGATCACTGCGTTACATACTCAATAAATCTATAAAAAGGCCATGTGTCATCTTAGGCCACAAAATAAGGACATTAATCATGAACTTCATTGTGCTGTAAGATAGCCCTTCAACACAGAAAGTCACACAATGATGACAAAAGTGTGCTCGGGCCTGGGACGTTAAATGCAGTGTGAGTGCAGTGCAGCAGGGGAGGGGGGACAATCATGCTCGGGCCTGGAATGTTAAATGCAGTGTGAGTGCAGTGCAGCAGGGGAGGGGGGACAATCATGCTCGGGCCTGGGACATTACATGCAGTGTGAGTGCAGTGCAGCAGGGGAGGGGGGCAATCATGCTCGGGCCTGGGACGTTAAATGCAGTGTGAGTGCAGTGCAGCAGGGGAGGGGGGACAGTCGTCCTTGGGCACAGTACGCGTCTACCGGGCCAAGTGTGAGTACGCCCTTAAAGTATTCAGGATGTGCGTAGCTCCCATTTTATATAAGACACTTGAGCATTTGCAGATTTTTGCTCCTTCAAGCCCCCGTGGATATGAAGGGGCGACTCTACACACAAATGCAAAGAAATGCATTCCACTTGTTTTTTATGCTTATTGTGTTTGCTGTGTATTACATGTCAAACATTCAGACTTACCATCTGCATCTTCTTCTTCAGTTCGTTGTTGGAGTTTATGTACGCTTCTGAGACAGAGTTCAGGTAGTAAATAGCCAGGCTGTGAGGCAAGACAGAGAGTGCCAAGGTAGAGTGTGTTCTGTACTCACCAATCCAGCGCTGTGACTATGTGTTCAGTACTAAATCTGTACCCTAACACCCTTTGTCAATACATCAGTGTGTTGTGTACACACAGACTAAAAGGATAAGAGAGTATTCTGTACACACAGGATAACAGTGTCTTCTGTACTCAACAGCCCATCAGAATTACAGTGTATTCTGTACTCAACAGCCCATCAGAATTACAGTGTCTTCTGTACTCAACAGCCCATCAGAATTACAGTGTATTCTGTACTCAACAGCCCATCAGAATTACAGTATATTCTGTACTCAACAGC